GACTCGAACAATTCGAATAGAGTTCACAATAACCTAACAAAAAAATGCCGACCCACAAACCGAACCAAATTTTTTCAGTTTTTTTAACCCATCTTAACCTTTAATAGTTTGGGATGGATAATTGGAGTTTGTCGAGTTATTAGATCATATGAACACTATTCAGCATCTTTGCTAGCACTTGTTACTTTCTCCAATCGACGTGGGACCACCACGAAGGGCCCAGCGTCCTTACTATCACACTGCCTCGTGTCTACCCCCTTCAAGGAATCGATGTGGGACCACAACGAAGGGTCTAGCGTTCTTACTGGCACACTGCCTCGTGTCTACCCCTTCAGGGAATTGATGTGGAACCACCACGAAGGGCCCAGCGTCCTTACTGGCACACCGCCTCGTGTCTACTCCCTTCAGGGAACAAGCTCCTCACTAGCACATCGCCCAGTGTCTGACTTTAATACCATTTGTAATGACCCAAGTCCACTGCTAACAGACATTGTCCTCTTTGAGCTTTTTCTTTCGAACTTCCCCTCAAAACTTTAAAATGCATCTGCGGTTTCCACACCCTTTAAAGGGTGTTTCGTTCTCCTCTTCAACCAATATAGGATATGACAATAAATTAATATAATTATTGGTTCATTTTTTCCAATTAAACTTCTATCACGCCATAAATTCTTAATTGGACACCCAATTGCCACTAGAGCTTATCCAAAGAAATAAAACTATATTATATACAAATATAATTATCATGAACTTTATATAATATAAGATGACGAAACAATTTTAACTCAAAAAGCAACAATGAAGCACTATGATTAAGTTATATAAATATAAATATTTTAGAGTTGGGTATGCTTAGTTTGTATTAATGATTAAAATATATGTAAACCAATAATTATTATGATCATACTATATTAGCATATAAAATGATTCATGATTGTTATTATTATAATCGACCATTCTTCATGTTTATAATTATAATCAATAAAGTGCCAACAATAACTTAACTTCATAGCTAAGTGTGTTTTACTTAGAGCAATTTTATGTTAGATAGCTTCTTAAAAATTTTCTTATGATACATATGAGTAATAAAAACGTGCTAAAAAGACGTGGGTTGGTTTGTGGGGGTAGTGTTCACTTTTAAAGAGGGAGGAGTGGAACACAGGGGAATGTCGAGACTAACAAGTATCAAATCCTAGGCATGGGGCGTTACAATTTTAGTGTTTATAAGTTATATGAGCTATAAACTAAGTCTCTCTTAAGCGGTGACAAAGTGAAGCCTCATGGTTCAAGTCCCAAAATCAACAAATTATGTTCCCAACTCTCTAATTGTTCAAGTACCCAATTGGTAGTCGTCTACAAAAGTCGCTCATACCCATGCAAATCAAAAGACAAGCCCTCACAACTGAGTTCATAACTCTGGTCAAGTCACTCGTGTACCAAAGTCACTCGTGTAAATCAAAAGACAAGCCTCCACAACCAAAAATTCATAACGGAACTACATACGAAAATAGAAAGAAAGTGGAGGGGGCAAAAGTGGAAATGGATGGAACAAAAAAAAGCAATTTTTAAAATAATCAATAAATGGGAATATAATAATTGGGTAGCGGCACAGCCACCCTCAAGTCATTACCAAATATACAACCATTCAATATTCAATATTCCATATTTAATTCAATATATTACTAAGTTTGTGATGATACAATAATCATAGAATCTTAGGCTTTTTTGAGGTTGTATGGTTTGTATTTGTCACAATGGATGCAACCTATGGTTATAAAATAATCGTGCCCACCTGTCTCAATACAATGTTTCGTTGTTATTAACTACGATATTAAACAATTTGGGCATACACGTATTATATTTGTGATTTTGTGCTGAGTATTTATATGACTCGATAATTCAATCAATATACATTATCTAACTTAAACTATAAAGGTTGAGCTGGATTGTATTAGGTTTTTTTTTTCGGTTTTAATGGGTTGGATTGATTTTTTAAGAAATTAAAAATTTGGCTTAGTTTACAGGTTATTGATAGAGGGAATAGATCTGTCATTTCTTGAAATCTCTCTTCTCATTCAAAATCGTGGTGTAACGTGTATCCCCTCCTGTTTCGGACATGGAATAGATGAAATAAATAAATAAATGGATTTTTGTTCAAGAATGAAATCTTATTGGATCTTTCAGTTTCTTTAGCAAAAAATTAAGAATAATAGGATGAATTGAGATGAAATTTTGTAAATATATAATTATCTTGAATATATTAATTATTTATTTATTTTTCGATCGCCGACAAAAGAAACATCTTGTTCTTTCTTTAACAATTTTTTGATCTCTAAGGAACCTCTCAATAAGATTCGAACCCATATGAAGTTCTGACTATTTGTCAGAGAAAAAAGAACGAAGGGATCTTGTAGGATTCCCGAAAAATTCTTCGATTTCTTCTGGAAGCGAATGATTATTCATATGCTTCTCACGTTCCATGAATAGTCGGGACATTAAGGAATATCCAGAAAAACATTTAGGGAATCGGTCTAATTCTATCTTGTTCGTTCCGTTTGAAGAAAGGAAGGATCCCAAAATAGGGTTGCAATCCTGTCTGCTTTTAAAAAAATTTAAGAATATTTAACTTCAGTGAGCATTATTAATGCTTGTGATATGTTATCACTTGTAAATATTTGATTGAAATTGATAAATAGATTTTTTTTTAAAATAATTATTAAAAATTTCAATTAGTATATGTACACGGATCAACTCTATTAGAGGAATAGAACTCGAGCATAACTCTCATGGTTTTGCAGGCTTCCCCAAAAGGCCTCATACCAATAGAGAGAGTATTTTTTTATTATTATTATTATAAACCATGATATGATATTGTCCATTTTGAGCTAAACTCTCATGGCTTTGCTTTAGGCTCCCCGAAAAGCCTCGTGCCAATAGAGGAAGTATTTTTTTATTATAAACTCATGATCATTCCCTCAATTAGTCGGGACTTTCATCATCCAACAAACCCTACCATACTTTTAAAAAAATTAAAAATATTTGACGTAAGTAATTAAAACTTGTAAAATTTTAGTTATGAATTTTTTTTAACATAATTATTTAAACCCAAAACAAAATTGGTAACATAAATATAAATAATTATATTTGAAACATTAATTATTTCAGATATTTAAAATTACTGGTCATAGAAAACTAACCATTTAAAGTTATAATAAATTAAAATGGAAATTGCAAATGGCAATGAACCACGAGGAAAAAAAGGAACCATGGGTCGAATCTCGAACCCAACCCACGAGCTCACTGAACCACCAACGACGTTTCCTGCCCAACCCAGTTTCAGACGCTAGATGAAGCCCATGCCCGATCGGAGACCCACTGCCCAACGCCTTCAACTGCAGTCCCAAACGAACGCAGGATGCAGCTCACCAACCATCTTCGGCCCACTCCCACACCACTAGCTCACGATCCACGCAAGCTTGAAGAGGACGATTAAGACTTCTCCAACTAACCCATAATAGCAAAACTCGACTTGATCATCGAAGGTTCACATAACATTTTAAAATTGACTTTGATGTACGTGTACTATGTGGGGCTATTAGGGGTTTTCTAGTTAATTTTCTTGGAGTGAACCTGCACAATCGTAAGGAATTCATTGTAGTATTTAGAACCATCTCTTAATTGTGATTTGATTGTAGGAAAGGAAAGGACCACATAGTTGGACAAGTATTTGGCTAGATTGAGGGTCAACCTCGTTTATGCTGCTTAGATTATGAGATCTATTAGGGAGATGTCAACTAAACTCTATTAGAGAATTTGAGAATAGTGTCCATAACGATATAATGAGAGTAATGGATTGGATATGTCGGGGTTGCACCACGAGGGCCTACTGGCCATAAGTAGATGATGATAATGAAAGAGACTAGTAGAACATCTAAACAATAACCCTAAGAACGAACCACGAGAACCTTCCATTTGGACGGAAGAAAATAGAATTTATGACTTCCACACCATGACCTAAGTTAAGCTAAGGTGAACCAATTAGTAACCATAGGATATAGCTCATTAGCAGTCTACGCACCAACTCGTTGAATTGATGATATAAGACTTGAAAATAAATTAAGAAGTACAAGCAAGCTATTTACCGAACATTTAATACTCATCCACTGCTTTTATTCTTTTCTTATCAGGCTTAGACAGAGTGGTCGAGACGAGGGTTGCATGAACCGCAGGGTTGTAGAAGTTGGGCTAGATCGATATCTATTTTACTAGATATTATGATCTCATGAACTTAGTATTTCTATACTTTTATTTAGTATTTTTTATTTTGTGAATTGTGCTCTATCATGTCTTAAAGTAGTCACGATATACGATTACAGTGTGTTAATTCTCGTTTTTTAAAAGCTTCAATAGCTTGTTTGATTTCATCATTGTGATAACTAGCCAAACCATGAAGTTTATCGTGAGAAATTGTTTCATTGGTTTGGAATCCACTGAGATATATGGATAAATACCAAATCAAAAAGTTTTCGGAAGTAACTCAAGTAGCACCAATAACTTATTACTCTCCACAAATTAATTTATATTTAATATATGAATCCTTTTTTAAATTTTAAAATACGATACAAAATTAAAAGTCACATACAAATTAAAATTTTAACTTTTTGAAATTTATTATCGTCTACGGAGGTGAGTTAGGGCCTAAGATCAGGGCGAAAGGCGTAGTTGATGGACAACGAGTGAATATTCTTGTACTATCCCTGTTGGTCCCGAGAGACGAAGAAGACTAAGTTAACCAAAAGATGGTTATCGATTCCACGCAACTTTAAAACTAGTTTTGTTTGGCTTTATAAAAAAAAAATAATTTAAATTTGCATTTTTTCTATCCATTATTTTAAATTCAAGACAAATTACTTTTATTTACAATTATTATTATTATTATTTTTTTTTGTGAAATAAAGGGAAGGGTTTTGTAACCTTTAATGTTTTAAGAAAAGATTCCGATGTCAATTTGGTACTTATTCCAAAATCCGCCTTCTTTTCATTCACTTCCTGGACCGGCGAGAAGGGTAAATCCCCGCCGCGTAGAAACTAGATCACCAAGAAACGCCATTACAATACTGCAATCCGCTGATTTTTGAGATTGTTGAATCTGAGCTGCAAGGGTCATTGATTGCTTGATGAATCTTTTTCCATCATCGCCGAACTCTTCATTTGTGCATGGAGTCTTCACCGCTATTCGATGCCCTACGATGATTAGAAATTCTTCCGCCATTATCAACTCAGGTCAGCTTCTTATCGTCCTTGGATTCAGGCTCAGATTCACATTTACACTGGCACTTAAGTTCTTCACCTCAACTACTGCTTCTCTTCCACAAAGCCTTCCTGTAGAACATGATGTACCGGCGCAGCTTTTTTCCATTCTTTCTCGCCTCGATTGGCAAAAGCATCCTTCTCTGAAAATTTTGATCCCTTCTATTGCGCCATCCCATGTATCTTCCCTTTTTGCCCTCAATCTCGATCCCAAAACTGCTCTGGCGTTTTTCAATTGGATCGAACAGAAGCATGGATTCAAACACAATGTTCAATCCTATGTTTCTATTTTAAATATCCTCGTTCCCAATGGGTACCTCCGCATTGCTGAAAAACTGCGAATTTCAATGATTAAGTCGACGAATTCCGCAGAAAATGCGCTGTTCGTGTTGGAAATGCTGCGGAGCATGAACCGCCGGGGGGATGATTTAAGATTTAAGCTTACTCTTAAAAGCTATAACATGCTCTTGATGTTGTTGTCGAGGTTTCTCATGATTGATGAAATGAAAAATGTGTATTTGGAGATGTTGGATGACATGGTTTCGCCGAATATGTACACGCTCAATACAATGGTAAATGGATATTGTAAGTTGGGTAATGTAGTTGAAGCAGAGTTGTACGTCAGTAAGATAGTGCAAACCGGTTTATGTTTGGATACATTTACTTATACGTCTTTGATATTAGGATATTGTAGGAATAAAAATGTAGATGGTGCAAATAAAATTTTTCTGTCAATGCCAAGTAAAGGTTGCCGCAGAAACGAGGTTTCTTATACTAATTTGATTCATGGGTTTTGTGAAGCCAGGAGGATTGATGAAGCTCTGAAATTGCTCTCACAAATGCATGAGGATAATTGTTGGCCGACTGTTCGTACATATACAGTTATCATATGTGCATTGTGTCAAATGGGCAGGAAATCAGAAGCATTTGATGTGTTCAAGGAGATGACTGAGAAGGGATGTGAGCCAAATGTACATACCTATACAGTCCTTATTCATAGTTTATGCGAGGACAATAAGTTTGATGATGCCAAGAAATTGCTAGATGGGATGCTTGAGAAAGGATTGGTTCCAAGTGTGGTCACTTACAATGCCTTTATTGATGGTTATTGCAAGAAAGGAATGAGCACGAGTGCCTTGGAAATTTTGAGCCTGATGGAATTGAATAATTGTAGTCCAAATACTCGCACTTATAATGAATTGATAATGGGATTTTGCAGGGCAAAGAATGTCCACAAGGCCATGTTACTTCTTCATAAAATGCTTGAGCTGAAGCTTCAACCAGATGTAGTTACCTACAACCTATTAATCCATGGACAGTGCAAAGAAGGGCATCTGGGTAGTGCTTATAAGCTGCTCAGTTTGATGAATGAAAATGGTTTGGTTCCTGATGAATGGACTTACAGTGTCTTCATAGTCGTACTCTGTAAAAGGGGGAGGGTTGAAGAGGCTCGTTTTCTCTTTGACTCCCTAAAGGAGAAAGGCATAAAGGCAAATGAAGTAATCTATAGTGCATTGATTGATGGCTATTGCAAGGTCGAAAAAGTCAGTGACGGTCATTCATTGCTTGATAAAATGCTTAGTGATGGATGCGTTCCAAATTCAATTACTTATAATTCCTTGATAGATGGACATTGCAAAGAGAAAAATTTTCAAGAAGCTCTTTTACTTGTGGAAATAATGATAAAGAGAGACATTAAGCCTACTGCTGATACTTACACCATTCTTATAAAAAATTTATTAAAAGATGGTGAGTTTGACCGTGCCCATCAGATGTTTGATCAAATGCTTTCCGCAGGTTCTCATCCTGATGTAGTTATCTATACTGTATTTATTCATGCATATTGTAGCCTGGGTAGATTACAAGACGCGGAGTTATTTCTTCATAAAATGAATGAAAAAGGAATATTGCCAGACGCTCTGCTTTATTCATTATTGATTGACGCATATGGATGGTCTGGATCAATTGAAATTGCTTTTGACATTTTGAAGCGTATGCATGATGTCGGTTGTGAGCCGTCTTTCTACACATATTCTTATTTAATTAAACATCTATTAAGTGCAAAGCTGATAGAAGTAAATAGCAGTACAGAGTTGGGTGACTTGTCATCAGGGGTGGTTTCCAATGATTTTGCCAACTTATGGAGGAGAGTAGATTATGAATTTGCTTTGGAGTTGTTTGAGGGAATGGTCAAGCAAGGCTGTGCACCTAATGCTAATACTTATGGCAAGTTTATTTCAGGTCTTTGCAAGGTGGGATGCTTGGAAGTAGGCCGCAGGTTGTTTGATCATATGAAAGAAAAAGGACTATCGCCTAATGAAGACATTTATAACTCTCTTCTTTGTTGTTCGTGTCAATTAGGATTGTATGAAAAAGCAATAAGGTGGTTAGATGGCATGGTAGAGCATGGATATTTACCACATTTAGATTCTTGCAAGCTGCTGCTCTGTGGCTTGTTTGACGAAGGAAGTAACGAGAAAGCAAAAACAGTGTTTCATAGTTTACTTCAGTGTGGGTATAATTATGATGAAATTGCTTGGAAATTACTTATTGATGGCTTACTTCAGAAGGGCCTTGTTGATAAATGCTCTGAACTATTTGGCATCATGGAGAGACAAGGTTGCCAAATTCATCCCAAGACATATAGCATGTTGATTGAGGGATTTGATGGTATTCAGGATATAGATTAATCATTTACAGGTTCAAGGAGGACAACACTATTTTTATCTTTGAGTGGTGTAAACTGATGAATTGCAAATTCCTTACCCACTTGGCCTCTGGATACTTTATCACCTTTGCAAGTAACTTCTCTGGTGAGTGATGGTGATGTTGCTCAGTGAAGGGTGCGCATGTTGATTTCTTGGGTACAATATTACGGGAAATAGCGTCTTAATGAGTAAAACTTCAGCAACAATGGGAAGGCAAGCTCTTTTACTCTTTTCATTTTATATATTCTTTTATACGTTTAAATTCATAAGATTGTTCTTTTTTTAAGCTTTCTTCTCTCGGTAACTACCTGACAAATTTTATTAATTGGAGATCCTTTCTTGGCTTAGAGGTGGTTTCCACCTTCCTTTTGTACATTTCAATTAATAAATGTTTCCAAGGAAATTTATTATACCGAGTTATAATTCTCATTTATTTGTTAATTTAGATAGAGCTCAGCTGTCATCTTTCCCTTAGAAAGTCTGCCATGAAGGCAAGCATTTTGGAAAAATATGATATTTGACATAACATTAAGATAATAACTCCTCTCATTCTTCTTTCTCTTGATGTATATATTATTTTTGTCTATGAAGTATATAAATTGGTTAATTTTTCTTTCATATATCAAATTCCTTGACATGTTGACACTTTTCAAGAACTGATTGTCACTTTCACATTTTCTTTGATAAGATTAGTCTTATCATTTTATTGTAGGCACCTGGACATAACTAAAGAAAAGATGTTGAGGAAAGTTTAGGCTTGAATAAAAACACTGCTTGTTTTTTTTATCATGTTATTGAATGATTCATTTTCTTTTCATTGGATAATCAAAAAGCTTTGTAATAGACATAACAAATGGTGGAAAATGGGATAAGATATTACCTCAATCTAGGCTAAGGAGGAGGTCACAAAAAAGCTCTCCCGTTAGCAATGTTGACGGGATTAATTATTATGGTTTCTATTTGGTAGCTCTGACTAGAAGCCACAAGAATAATGTCATGAAGCTCTTTGATGTCTGGTTTGAGGATCGATATTATGTCGAGGCATATTATAATTCTATGGACAGTCTTAGTAGAAGCGTTTGGAACCTGGATCCGTGAGTTTACCAGCCAATCCATTTTTAGTGTCTTGATGAGGATAGAGAGATAACCTGACACACATTATCCTCTTGTCTTGATCTAGCTGGTACCATTGGAATGATCTTGAGATGGGAGTGGGGGCGGAGAGATCCAGCCCAGCTTGAAGGTTTTTGGTGCTTGAAGCAGACAACTTTCTCATAGGGCCATCTGGAACCATAGGATGATTGGAAAGCCATAAGAGGGAGATTTGGGATATTAGAAGGATAAATTAGTGAATAGTAGGTAACTGAGTTGGGATATTTTGTTGTAAGTAGATGTAGTGAGAAAGGAAGAAATTAGGCAATTGTTTAGTTGGTTTAGGGCTTAAGTGATATCGCGATAAGGACATCCAAGTACCTCAAATTACTTAGGTTATCTTGTAGTTCTCTTATCTTTTATATTACAATACATTGTGGTTCGGATTTGGTTCATATCAATGGATTGCAAGGAGAATTAAGTTCTCCCGATACAATTTTCTTATGAAATTTCTTATGGTGGACAAAGGGAAACCTTGACCTTGTAATGTATTGCACCATAATTGGTATATTATTGTGCTTTAGTCCCAACAAGAGCTTGGATTACTTGTTTATTCATTGAACTTTTTCTGGAGATTAGTATGAACTTTTGTTTTAGAAATTTAATGTTTTTCTACTGGCACCGTAGTGTTTCTAAATTTTTGTTAGGACCTCAATTTCAAGCAATAACGATGTAACACTATTGCAATATGAAAAGAGAAATTATATTATCGTTAGCCCTTGAAGAGGGTTATCCCACTCCCATAATACATCTACTATGAAATGACTCCGCAAAACTATGCCTACCCTCTCAACTCCCTAACCCCCTCTATTTATAACCAGCCCACCCTGATAGACTACTGAGTAATTACATTTATGCCACTAATAATATGTTAGGATTCCCCTAACAAGAATACACCATCGAACTAGCGGCGAGTGATCAGTGTGAGTTTCATATTTCACGATTTTCTGTCCATTTTGTTTGTTGTTTGTTTTATTTATTTATTTTTATTTTGTTATATTTAAATGATTTGGGCTTTTAACCTTGGGTCTGTTTTGTTTCAAAATTTTCCCTAGTCGGGCCAGCCAGGTCTGAAATGTAAAAGAATATGAAATAAAAAAAGACGTGTAAACTAGCGTGTTGGACACATGTACATGTCCAGACGTATTCGTGTCCGACACGTGTCTGACATGGACACTCAGGAAAAAACCAAGTGTCCATGCTTCATAGCTTAGCTCTGCCAACGGTTTCATATTGCATGATGTCATTTCTTACCCCCATTTTTTCTACTTCATGATTCTCTACAACATATACTTTTTGAACCCATTCCCGTGATACTTAGGTGCCAATTTGATATGAGGTTGAAGATAACCAAAAATGCTGTGTGTTTCTTAGCATACCCATGTTCATATGGTATTTGGGTAGCCTCCAATCAACCTTTATGAGGTTTAGTTGATAGCTTTTCCTTACCCAGGGTGGTAAATAAAACCAACCTTTGTATTCGAGAAGGTCTTACCTCAAGCTTACTTGACGTTTATGGTTTAAAAAGTATTGAAACTAATGTGGACAGTCGTCATAAATTTGAACTGGAAGTGACTCACATACCTATGATACATGCAAAATTATAGATCTTTGGGCTGTTTTATTTTTCTGAGGAGATCTTTTTGTTTTGATATGCTTTGCTTTGTTAATTTGATGTCTATAAGCGAGCTTAAGTTATTGAAGTTTATTTATTTTGTAAGGATTAGAGAAGTTCATTTTTGGATAAGTTACAAGTCTAGTCGTGAATTTTCAGGTTTCTGTCTACTTCATCTCTAAACTATAAGTATCGAAATGGATCAAACTTTCAATCTTGTGTCTAATAGGTTCCTAAACTTTAAAAATGTCTAATACTTGCTTGAACTTTCAATTTTAATTGTGCTTAATAGGTCTAGACATCTTTGAATTTTTTAAAATTTTCTGATCTATTAGATATAAAATTGAATTTTGTCTAGTGGGACCTAAACTTTCAATTTATGTTGAGTAGGCCCATGGATTTTTGAAAACGTTAAATAGTTCAAAGACCTATTAGATAAAAGTTGAACATTTTGGGACCAATTAGAGAGAAAATTGGAACTTGATGGACCTATTAGACACTTTTTAAAATTCAAGGACTAAATATACACAAATCTGAAAGTTTAGAACTAAATTTATAATTTAACGTGGCCCCCATTTTTTTTTTTTTTTTTTTAAAGTTTAGCTGAGAATTAAAACACTATTTTGACTAAGCTAAATCTTCGTTCTGTGCAGTTTTGAGCAATTATGCATCAATTACACAAATGTAAAGCTGCCATGACTTTTCAACCAGGTATCCTCACTTCTTTCTCTCGTTCAATGTCAACTTTGCATGTCATAATGATATCTAGCAACTCTTCGAGACAAAGCAGGAAGAAAATTAAAAGAGTAAATTGATTGAAGCTAGCATACTATTTGCTGATAATCAAGCTCTCCCGGATCTCTTTAAGAAGGTTCATCTCTCATCCTTAGAACTTCGCTCCTTGAGTTATGAGCTCCCGCTCAGTCTTATGCAGTTGATTTCTCTTCATTTTAAAAGCTTACAGAAAATCTATGCACTTTATTTTTGTCATAAATATTATACATAAATGATGCATCTATCACTATAAGGTTCAGCCTAACCTATTTGTAGGAGATTTCACTTTCCCTAGGAAGTAAAGGAGTTATTGGACATGGTCTCAACCCGTTCAAGAATGCAGAAATTCGGCTTTGGACATTCTCATTATGGCTTTCGTTTGGAATCTATAGGAAGAAAGAAATCAAAGAGTATTCACGGAGAAGACACAAACTTATATTAGGCTATTTGAAAATGTTGTTTACCACACCATTTTTTGGTGCAAAATTGTCTAATAGCTTGCTGTAGTCATAGATTCCTCATTGTAAATTAGGAAGGTCATTTGTAAGTATCATGGATAACACATCCCTCTTGTAAATTTCAAACATCAACGAAATTCTCTTATAAAAAATAAATAATTTTTTTTTCTCATTTAGAGAGGTGAAGTGATAATACCAAAGTAATTGGCTGGATAAAATTGATCTGAAATGTTTTTTTTTCTTAGTGAATGCTATAATATATTAATAAAGGGTTGATCTGCAATGAGATCTCCTATAGAAAGAAAAATTATGATAGGCCCTTGACAATTTTATGGATAGGAAACAGTCCAACATAGCTCTTTCATGCTATGGAAGTAAAGAGCGGGGTAAGCTTCCCTGGTCAAGTAAAGGGTGGTGCACTCTTGGACAATTCTACTTGAAATTGAAGTATGCTAGTGAAAAGCATGCTGGAACTGACGAAAAACCTGTTGTGCAATGCGGAAAATTTTCAATGAATGTGGATGTTGCATTGGAAGTGCCGAGAAGACCCTGTCAATGTTGGATAGAATGGAAACTTTCGGTCAATTCAAAAGTAATTATTGTGGTTTGGCTCCTTTTAGGTGGTTGTTTTTTAAGTATTTTCATTGGTTTGTGCTTTCAAGCCCGTATGAACTGTTCTGGTTCCTTCATCTTTTATGAATGAAAGCTTGGATTTCCATTTGTTCAAAAAAGACCAATAGTAACTATTTTGGTGGTGTTGTGCAGAGATTGAACTTCTGATTTCGATGGGCAGTTATGATAAAAAGATTGTGGTAAACTTGGTGATTTCTGCAAACACCTACGTCTAACTGGACAGGTGGTTGTCTCTCGCATACCAAACGCATTCTGTCCAAAGTGCTTACCACATGGCCACCAGATATATGCTGTCTTCTGATTTCTCTTACTACGTGAGTACTTATACCTGCTATCACAGTGAAAACCAAACAAGTTTTTGTTTCAGGAGCATTATAAGATGAACACTCGATGTAGCTATGGTTGTAGTAGAAGAGAACAAACTCGTAGTAGTAAATGAAGGAACTGATGAAAAGAGAGATTTTAACATTCAAGTGCTTGATCTTAAAAATATGTTTGAGATTCATTTAGTTTTCATTGAATTACTGTAAACATTAACAGGAAGGGCCCTGGGACTATTCTAGAAATAAAATGGCATGCTATTCATTTCTAAGAATCATTTATATTTTGAACATTTGACATAAAAAAATTGTTTCAGGCTGATAGGCAAAGAGCTAATGAGAAAGAAAGGACATGCTGAAATGGAGAATTCAAGGATGGGGAAGTTACAAGGAACTGAAAGGAGAATGCAACTTCAGGACTATTCTATAAGACAGGTAGCAAACTTAGATTAGGATACATATATGATACTCAAATGTTTGAAAACTTCAAAGCATGTATGAAAAATACATCTTTTCTGAAAAAATAAAGTTCTGTTTTCAATTTGACAGGCCACCAAACATGGATTAGTATACATATTTGTGTTCAAAATTCTACAAACGGCATTTTATGATTTACTTGTTCGCCTGTTGGTAATTTATAATTATATGTAGTTTCATTCTGCTGGATAAAGGTGTTCAAAGTTTGGCATCCATTCGGCTGAACCAGTTACTACTCGACAAAACTTTTGATAGCAAAAAAAGTAGAACAGTGTTAATGGGCATGATGATCATATATGTGGATGTAATGATTCAAACAGATTTGGTACTTAAGCATGAACGTGATGCATTTGCTAGGACTTTTATTCTTTTCCATGAACTAAGTCGCACCTGAATTGCTGTTGGAATGAGGCTGCAGGATAGCTGGATAATTCATTTCTGTTGGTATCTTACAGATTTGGAAACCGAGCGATTTTTCTACCACACATTACCTCTTGAAGTTGGACCTCCGCTTCATAAGGAGTTTTTGTGCGAGTCTTTCTTTCATAATAAGCTGACACTGACTGCCATAGATACTGTTCTGAAAGAGGAGATTACTGATACCATTCGAGACCGAATTCAATCTTGAGGTAAACTTTTGCATTTGAATCTTTGTTCTTAATGGAGTTCAAAATGAGAAATGAATATCTCAATATTATTAGTGTAGGACTAATCTTGGAGGGTTCCTGATTCAAATCTTTAATGAATAATACCTCTTAAAACCTAGGGACCCCTATTTAAAGGGCTACAAACCATCCTATAAGTCACTGGCAACAGTAACTAAGTCAAATGACAGCAGCAAAACTAAATTTTTTAAAGATTACTGCCTTACTTACGGACGTACTGTAAATACTCTGGCTTCTGAAGACAGTAAAAGGCTTAAGACTAAATCCAGAAGATTAAAGCCATGGTAAAGCCACAGTAAAAGAGAAAATCAACTAAAAAATACAGTACATTGAAGAATACACTACATCAGTTCACTCTACCTAAAGATAACTCATTCTCGAGTTAACTCAGAAGCCAAGTGAAAACCAACTGGGGGCAGGGTAAGCTGTGAGGTATGAAAAATTGGAAGTAGGGGAAATTTTGAAGTGTGGTAGAAGATGAACTTTGAAGGCATTAGGACCATAGCGTTCATTAATAGGAAAAGGCCCTATTTCTCTTTGGATGGAGCTTGCCATGAACGCTCGAAGGCATCCTAGACTTGTGCAAATGAACAATCATGAGATCCCCAATGGCAAAGGATTGAGGCCGGCAGTGCTTAGTGTCACATTTTTACTATGAATAGAGTAGGTTGTGACTCTCAGGTTGCGACAAGCAAAGCGGCGACTCTCAAGTGGTGCCCATTCGGCCACATTAGTACCTAGACAAGTGCCATGATGCGATCGAGGAGAATGATGCATCATTTAACACACCACACAGAGTGGACATTGAAAAAAAGATGAGACATAAGCAAGATAAGGGCCACTTGTTGAAGGGCTGGGTAGGGCCCCGACCCTTAACCTCGAAAGTCGGGGCTTCGAAGGGAATATGGTCATGTGGTTTTGGAGTCAAGTTCGTCCATATGAAATATAAATTATGAATGCTCGCCAAATATGGTCATATGACCGTTTGCCAAAATGATTTCTAACCAAGGAGGATTGAAAATGCCTCAAAATGTACCTACCTTAGGGGAAGACATGGTGTCAGCTCTCTACCACCCCTAGGCCTTGTGGCATAAGCAAGCTACCTTGTGGCACATATATGTGTCAAAATGAGAGTGAGCGTTGCGAGACGAGTGTCTTGGGTGACTTCTTTTGAAATGGGTCTTTCAAGAACAGTACCGGGCGACATGGGTGTGCCGCTATTGTGCCCTATCCCATGTGTCGGAGGTTGGACTATGCACCCGCTATTCGATACAGAGTCTGTAAAGGACATGACATGGGCACAGGAGGGCCAATGCCTCGATTGAACCCAGATGGATGAATGTTCGGGATGTTCCAATATTACGAACAACATGTGGACCCGTTCTCGATGACATGACCGAGTGAGCTATGATGGCCAACAACACTCCATGACTTGGGATGACGTCAATACATATGGGCCATGTTAATTGGGAACCAAGATGACATGATGAGGTGTGATGTTGCACATGAGAGATTTTGGCCCCAAGTAGAGTTAAGGTCGAGTCGAGTGATTTGTCCTAGTGTAGAGGCAAGTTGGTTGTGTCGCAGACGATTGAACATGCACGCGTAGGCGATATGTGTGGTCGAACAAGTTTGGGTTTCGCACAAGTGATCTTCGGTTGGCGAAGACAAATCTCGTTTAAGGTCCGACGAAGCCATAAAGGTAAGCTAAAAATGAATATGGGGCTTGGGTTCCTCTTAGCTGGTTGTGAGCATGTCAAGATCATGATGCTACATGGTTGAAAAAGTACCATCGTGACAACTAGCAGCCAAAAGCTTGTTTGAGGCATTTGCAACCCCAACAATAGTTTGTAACATCTAATTTGTGGCCAAAAATCTCTTCCGAACACGAGCTCAATAGTCTTATATCTCCTCCTTAAATTCCCTGGTCAACCCCCCAAAATGTAATTCTTTTATCAATTGCTCATGTAAGGATGTGTGTGGTATGCATAAGACATTGCTCTTAACCATCAGCAATGTGGAAGCCACTAGGGTTAACATGGTGGCAACATTTACTCCAAATATCATAAAAATCAACATCAAACTCATCATTGATGGTAACTCTTCAAAAGCAATAATCTCCCTCCTTAGTACAGTCATCAGAGAATCCTTCCTACCAAAGGACATCGTCTTCTTTATTAGTATTTCCATCTTTATGTTTAGTACGAAAGTCAGATTCGTTAATAAAAGTGATCCATCTAGCATACTGTTAATGGAAAAGCAATTATACTAAAATCTTTGATGAACTTTCGATAAATAAAAGCCAAACCCCCAAAAAAATTGCACATATTTTTAGTAAGGACCAATCTTTAATAGCTTTAATTTTGGTAGGATCTACTGTTGCGCGGTTGCTAGCAATAATGAACCCCAAAAATTTAATTTCCGTTTGTAAGAAGGAACACTCTTTAAGGCTGGTATAAAACTGGTTCTTTTCCAAGGTGGCGAATGGTGTTCTAAGGTATCCTAGATGTTCATCCTTGGATTTACTACATAAAAATTAAACCTTAAAGTTAAGAGGTGAGTTTATAGCAATCTTATAGTTATAAAGATTTTTAATTTTTCCAAGAAAAATCTAACTAATAATACAGATTAAAGGGAATTGAGTGATGGATCAAGGTATCAAATTCCTAGCAACAATCCTCTATCCAGAGTCCTTAGATCCAGAGTCCCAAGAGAGGGAAGGAACTGTAGACCAAGAGCACTTCAATCTGTCCCTTCAGAACCGTATGCATTGTACTTAGTGAGTGTTTAAGGACGGACGCACGACGATGGAAAGTGGGTTCAATCGGAGTTTTTGCAGTCACACTCCACAAGGAAAAGTTCCCAGGAATAAGTGGTGGTTGGAGAAGACATGTCGACCATTATCGGAGGAGGTTGGAGGACAAATTGGAAATCCAGGAAAATCAGGCAAGGAAGACCAACCCGTGGGTTGGTTGAACCGGGATCCAGAAAGTCCTCAATGTTGAGCCACCGGAGCCGAATCTCTCCGCTACCCAAATCCATTCACAGCCCTCTCTGCATGCGTGTTTAAAATAGGACGCAGACGGCTCAGCCCATGCATGCTGCTACCCATACTGCGCACACCTACCCCTTAATTGACCTGTCTACCCATACCGTTAACCCGACTGCGCCCGCACCCCTCTTATTTCGACTCGGCTTAGCCCCTTCAGATGGCTTCTAAATAGCTCATTTGGTTTGGGTTAGACTATTTGGACTCATTTCCTACCTTCTTTACCCTCCAGAGGTGTTTTTGACATTATTGGAAGCATTTGAGGTCAACATGACCTGTTTGCTCAATTTAAATTATTTTGAGCTGAAAATTGGAATTATTTGATACCTTTAGGTAAGTTAGAGGAACAAATTTAGGTCAGCTCTAAGAATATTTAGTGACTCTGGTTAGGCTAATCAAGTATCACTACTAGTTTGGTTGAATGAGTTGCTTGAAGTATGAACGATGCTTACTTTATGACCCTTGCACATGTTGTATTTGTGATTGTTTAGTGTCTATTTATTATATTATTGTTGTGTTGTGAATATGTTGTGCTATGAAATGTTATGTTAGGCTGTAATTATGAGATATGTTATATTATGGAATATCATGTTGACACTTGATGTCATTTAAAATTATGCTATGTTATACACTACATTACGAGACAACATAAAATGATTATGTTATGTATGAAATTAATGAAAATATATCTTGCATCATAGATACCTCTCATGATTTTGAACTATAGGGATCTCACACATCGAATGTTCACGTGTATCAGGATACTTCTCCACTATGATTAGTACGGAGGCGTATACTACAATGTTATGATATGGTATTATGTACACCTTGATACTATGTTAGTTCCCTTCCCTTCGTGGTATACCGGCTGCGTGAGTGCATGCTAGTTGAAGGGTCAAGTCTAGTTCCCTTCCCTTCGTGGTATACCGGCTGCGTGAGTGCATGCTAGTTGAAGGGTCAAGTCCAAGGGTACATATACAAAGTTGCTTGGTAATTCATGTGCATGTATTTTGTCCATGTGTAGAGAAGTACTACACATTCAATTCTGCAAAGATTAGAAGTTGAGACTAAGGCCATGTATAATATTTTGAAACAATAAGAGTCCCAAACATGATTACATTTCTTGGCTCCAGGGATACTTATTGAATTTTTCTATTTTAAAATACTCAAGTCTCGTACTACTATTATTTTTTCAGGTAAATGTCAAGTGTCTTTGTACGAATGACTATGTCGCAGTGACGACCATGAGATTGAAGCTAGGGTAGATGTATACTTGTTTGTAACCCTTAAAGTTAGATTAGGACATTATTTTATTTATTTTTGATGAGGAAGAAGGTTGGACTAATTTAAACCAAATTTATGGTGACTTCTTTTTGGTGGAAAATTATATAGTTAAAAAAAATATAAAAAGAATAAGATAAATTATTTCAAATTCAATAAATGATGCAAATAGAAATGATTTTGTGACATTCGAGTAGATGAAATCAAGATCACGTCTGAATGAGAGTGATTATGATGATAGGATTGTTGGATGATGAAAGTTCCACATCGGTTAATTTAGGGAATGGTCATGGGTTTATAATCTAAGAATACACTCTCCATTGGTATGAGGCCTTTTGGAAAGCCCAAAGCAAAGCCATGAGAGCTTATGCTCAAAGTGGACAATATCATACCATTGTGGAGAGTCGTGTTCGTCTAACATGGTATCAGAGCCATGCCCTAAACTTAGCCGTGTCAATAGATTGACAAATTCTTAAATGTCGAACAAAGGACTCCAAAAGGAGTCAAGCCTCCTCGAAGGTACGAAGGCAGTCAAAATCGAAGGTACGAAGGCAGTCAAAAATGACTAAGACTCCAAAGGAGTCGAGCCTCGATTAAGGGGAGGCGTGCTTTGTTCGAGGGGAGGTGTTGGATGATGAAAGTCCCACATCGGTTAATTTAGGGAATGATCATGGGTTTATAATCTAAGAATACACTCTCCATTGGTATGAGGCCTTTTGGAAAGCCTAAAGCAAAGCCATGAGAGCTTATGCTCAAATTGGACAATATCATACCATTGTGGAGAGTCGTGTTCGTCTAACAAGGATGACTAAAAAATTCATCTCCTTTTTTGATATCTCAATTATAGAAATTTCACGGTTAAACGTGCTTTACTTGAAGTATTTATATATTGGTTCACCTCTTACTGATTTTCTTTTTTAAAACATACTTGGCCTATAAATATAAGTAACATGACTATGTCTATAATATTAAAAAAAAAAATTCATTTGATCAATTTTATGGATTTATATAGATATTTAATAAATTTAAAAAAAAAAAAAAAGTGTTACTAAAAGTTAAATAAAATTGTAATTATAAAAGAATAAAAAAGAAAATTCGGTGACACACACAGCGTCACTGAATGATGGGCGGCGCTGACTTTCGTAAAACGGTTTCCTCCGCCTCCAGAAATGGAAACGCCCTAGTGGCATGTCTGGTAAATAACGGAATTTACAAGGGCAATTATGTAAAAGACCAATAACCGGCGAACAGAATTAGGAATCAGAACGGCGGCTGCCTGGCACAACCTGTCCACCGCCACCCAATACATTCCTTTTCCTTCCCATTAGAACAAAACCATGATGGCTTTGATTCAGGAGCCACTCCCCGCTAACTGTGGCTCTAAACCGCTAATTTCTCTTTCTATTCTTAGGGTTTTAGCTTTGCTGTTTGTTCATTGTAATCATTCCTCTGTATCTCTCTGTATTTCTACGCGTTTGTTGCCATTTGAGTTTTCTCCTCTTAATCTCTCCGATTCGGAGGGGGAGGAGGAGAAAACGATGCGTCTCTTACCAAAAATTGTCAGTTTCGCGGCGATTAATGGCTAGGGCTTTTCTGTTTGATTCATTAATGGCTATTTCGGTAGCGATTCTTCATGATTGATGGGTTTTTCATTAGGGTTTCACCGATATGAGTTGCTTTTGTTGTATTAGTTCTCACACTAAAGATGGGAACGGAGTCGAAATTGATAATGGTGTTGAATTTGAATCCCTGCGTTTTGGTGAGGGCTGTTCAAAGGGGAGCGCTGGTGTTCGTAGTTTCAAGTTCCGTGAACTCGCCGCAGCCACAAGAGGGTTCAAGGAAGTGGATTTGCTTGGCGAGGGTGGGTTTGGACGCGTCTACAAAGGGCGTTTGGAAACAGGGCAGGTAAAGTTGCATAGCTATGTCAATTATTGGGGGAAAATTCATTGAGTTGTACCATTTGTTCTTCTTTGCAGATTGTTGCAGTTAAACAGCTTAATCGTGATGGGCGTCAAGGGTTTCAGGAATTCATTGTGGAAGTTCTTATGTTGAGTTTGCTACACCATCCCAATCTTGTTACCTTGATTGGTTACTGTAGTGATGGAGATGAGAGGCTTTTGGTTTATGAGTTCATGCCTATGGGAAGCTTGAATGATAACCTTTTTGGTAAATCTTCTTCTTTTTGCAGTCTTCCATATTCGTTTTAAATTTGTTAAGTTATAGTTCATATGAATACATTTTAACAATTAAGAGCTATTTTTGTGAGATCTTATATTGATTGAAGAGAAGAACGAGCGCCAGCGAGGATGCTGGGCCCCAAAGGGGGAGGATTGTGAGATCCCACATCGGTTGGAGAGGGGAATAAAGCTTCTTTGTAAGGGTGTGGAAACTTGTAAGGGTGTGGAAACTTCTCTGTAACAGATGCATTTTAAAAACCTTGAGGGGAAGCTCGAAAAGGAAAGTCCAAAAAGGATAATATCTGCTAGCGGTGAGCTTAGGCTGTTACAAATATTGTGAGATCCCTCATCGGTTGGAGAGGGGAACAAATCATTCTTTGTAAGGGTGTGGAAACTTCTTCCTAGTAGACGTGTTTTAGAAACCTTGAGTGGAAGCTCGAAAGAGAAAGCCCAAAGAGGATAATATTTGCTAGTGGGTGGGATAGGGTCGTTACAATTTTGTTCCTTAAAGCTAAAGAATTTGTATGTTATGAGTCTCTGTGACAGGAGCTATGTCTTCTTTCCCAAATTTATGGCTGTATGATCATGTGGATATCCAGATTATATCATATATTTTGTCATGGTTCAAAGTGTCTTGTCAGTTCTGGTGCTTGTGTTAGTAGCTACAGATACATGGAATATGAGAGGGATCTATTGTGAGATCTCACATCGAGTAGAGAGAGGAACAAGTACCAGTGAGGACGCTGGGTCCTGAAGTGGAGTGGATTGTGAGATCCCACATTGATTGGAGAGGAGAACGAGTGCCAGTGAGGACGTTGAGCTCCGAAGAGGGGTGAATTGTGAGATCCCACATCAGTTGGTGAAGGGAACGAAACATTCTTTATAAGGGTGTGGAAACCTCTCCCTAATAGACGCGTTTTAAAAACCTTGAGGGAAAGCCTGAAAGGAAAAGTCCAAAGAGGACAATACCTGTTTGCAGTGGGCTTGAGCTGTTATAGATCTGATCCTTGCTAATGAATCTTCTTTATTTCAGATTTGGGTAGTGACAAAGAGCCACTGAGTTGGAATACAAGGATCAAGATTGCAATCGGTGCTGCTCGAGGCCTCGAATATCTCCACTGTGAAGCAAATCCCCCGGTCATATACCGTGACTTGAAATCAGCTAATATCTTGTTGGACAATTACTTTAATCCGAAGCTTTCAGATTTCGGTCTAGCTAAACTAGGACCAGTCGGTGACAATACTCACGTTTCAACTAGAGTCATGGGAACACATGGCTATTGTGCTCCAGAGTATGCCATGAGTGGTAAATTAACCCTCAAATCCGATATTTACAGCTTCGGCGTGGTTCTGCTCGAGCTTATTACAGGTCGTAAGGCAATTGATACTACAAGGAGAACAGGGGAGCAGAGCCTAGTTTCTTGGGTTAGTAATCTAATAACTTCGTTTGCTCAAAGCCAATTCAACTTGCTGATTTCGTATTTGAGCTTGTGTAGGACTTTTAGCCTCGTGGCATTCCCTATCCGATACAGTCGTATATTTCGAGAGTCGAGAGTATAACTGCTGACGTTTTCTTAGGATAATTTGTGTCATTATCTTCTATACAATCTGCAGTCTCATCCTTTCCTGAAGGACCGAAGAAAGTTCGGGCAATTAGTCGATCCCCTATTGGAAGGACGTTTCCCTCTTCGTTGTTTACAACAAGCAGTTGCAGTTACTGCAATGTGTCTTCAGGAACAACCATCATTTCGCCCTCATATTGGTGAAATTATTGTAGCACTCGAATACTTGGCCTCTCGAACTTATTTACAAGAACTACACATTGGTAGGACAAAACATTCCTCGCTACAACCATCACTTCCACAACAGAATGGATACACCAATGGCGAGCTATCGAATCCGTGAAACGACTAAACATCTGTTTGGAGATTGCTGTATACAAGTCGCCGAACAAGCCATGTAAGGAGTCTGACATATTGAGTTTCTTTTAAAGCATTACATCATACTTTTATAAGCATACGACTCTCTTCTGTAACTGATGTGATATTTGATTCAAAGGAGGAGATGTTTACACCTACGTCAGCCGAAAGCAGCTTGTCGAAAGACACATATCAATTCATTTCAGCGTGTGGACCACGAAGCTACTCGGGATGTTCCAAGGTACGTATCAGGTGCGTAATACTCGTAAATGGTATCTGTATGCTGTTTGTAAGAGGATCCCTGAATTCTTTTTTTAATACAATACTCATTTATATAAAATGAAAAATACATTATGAATAGTACAAACGTTTCTCTTGTTTCACAATGTAGGAGTTCGAATAAGAATTAGGAAAGCTCCCAAAAGTTTCGTTACTTAGCTGGCTAGATTACGTGCATTGAATGATGATGTTGGGTCTTAAGTTTGTTTGTTTATAGCTGCAAAAATGGATTTGTCAGCTCAAATAGTCAATACACTGACCTGTAGATCTAAGAAACTTCATAAAATATGGCAACCAACCACGAACTTTTGAGCCATTGATATTACCTATTCTAGCAAAACCACCCATCAGAGCCATCGTTAACCATTCATCATTAGCCGTAAGGCGTATTCTCAAGGGTCTCGTTTAGGACTATCCTTAAAAGGGTCTCGTTTGAAAGGGAAGAAAGTATGAAAGAAAGGACTTTTGGTGGAGGTAGTTTGTGAAAATGTAAAGGAGAGAAAGGTAGGGAATGAATAATGTTGGGATGGGTTGACTGTTGACTGGGCAACTCAACCCACTTTTAACGGGTCATTGATGAATAGAACGTGGACTTCATTAATTAATTAAGTTATCACTTTCTGTATCAAAGAAAAATTCATTGAAAGCAACTCTCCTTCGTTTTGTTTTTATATACCAAAAAAGAGAAAAAAAGAAACCCATTACAAGATTGGATCAGCTTTTATATGAAAGCTCTTTTGTCTTGCCTTTGTTGTTTTTTCTTCACGTGCTCTCTTATGCTTTCTCGTACATTCTTTAGAAGGGTAACAGTTAGATGAATACGACTCTCCACAATGATACGATGTCCACTTTGCGCATAACCTCGCATGACTTTGCTTTGAACTTTTCCAAAATGCCTCATAATGCCTCATACCAATGGAGATAGTATTTTGATTATAAATCTTGATCATTTCCTAAATTAGCCAAGCACAGTAACAACCTTAATTTTTTTTTTTTACCGTAACAAAGTTGTTATTATATATGTGACATGATTGTTAAGTGCAAAAGCATTCATTTAAAGTATTTCATAAGTGATGTTATTAATTTAAGCATTTGTAGTAAAATCTTTAAAAACAAAATCAATAAAGCGGAAAAAAGAAATGATGTGACATTTGAAACGAATAAGAGAAATAAAAGAATGTCTGGATCTAACTTAAGAGCTACTAAATAGACATAAATGTAACTACTCTAATATTGGTTCCGTAGCCTTCTTCGTGATGTCTTCAACTATATGAGGGTGCCTTTTCTTTACCCGAATAATAAGAGTAGTACATGATTTGACTTGAGTGTTTTAAGAAATATGCATTAATTAACCCGAATGTTGTAATTGAAAAATACAAACACATGCAATATGGTGGGACTTATCATTTTTAAAACATCATTGCGATGCTTTGGACAACTTTTCAATCATCGTAGGGTTGGATGTGTAGTATATTTCTACACATGGCTCACACATGCGCACATGGACCCACCATGTGAGCTCACGTAACTCTTGGTCCTAGCTTGTCGAGCTAGCAATTGTTAACGGATTGTCAGACACCACAGAGGAAAAAGGCCTACATAGCATCACGACAAGTATAAACATCGTAAGTCATAAGGTACATGTCTGTATTATTATAACAGAGAAGTATTTCGATACATATAATACACAAATGCATGAGGTCCCATACCTTAAAACCATAGCATATGAAGCAAGTCAAATCTCTACTCATATATATCAGAGTGAATCTATAAATTATGCATATATAATTCCTTTCAAGTCTTTCATACATAACATAGCTTACATGATATGGACTATGGAGGTTTATGCATCGTAGATTGTCATCATCATACCATATTACTACAGCAGGCAACATAGTCCAACATGACATAGCATGATCTAACATAGTACAACATAACCTAACAGACATAACATAACACAACATATCATCATGACATAACACGTTATAACATAGTACAACATGACATGACATAATATAATATGGTATAACATAGCATAACATGTAACATAGCATAACATCATACTTATGACACGCCCAGGGGCCATGGGGCACACGTCATCATACATAATACAATTCATCTAATCAAACTAATATTAGAGACGATTGCTTGGTTAACCTGAGTCGGAGTCACCAAATAGTCCTAAAGTTGGTTCGAAAATGCTCTTTAAGTCCAAACCCACCTATGTAAACCCACGTTCTCGAGTTAGGGCATGATTTATAATTTAATTCATCCAACAATGCTAACTAATTCAATTTTCTTAGCTTTGAGGTCATACTGACCATGATTGCTCCCAAAAACGTTAGAAATAGCTCTAGAATGGTACAAAATGTAAGGAATAAGCCCCAGAACTTGGAACAACTCAAATCCGAGCTAAATACATCGCCTAAGTCGATTTGGAGCCGCTAGAGCGTGTCAAGCTGAAGATTGAGGGGGCACGGGTCAGAAACATGATCGACTTGGGTTTACAGGTCGACTACGAGGCAGGAGCGCATATGAGTTTCTGAGCCAGGTTAGGTTGCGGGTTAATTCAGGTTGGTGCACAAGTTGCTGGGTGTCTGTGAGCTTGAACCGCACGAAGACTAAGGCCAACAAAGTGGGTTGACGGTTACTAGGTCACGTTATGGGTCATGGCTTCTAATGGCTACTTAACTAAGTATTGTTACAAGTTTAATCTCTTGTCACTTCGTATAAGGCAGATTTCTTGTTTTTGTTTGTTCTTCCTCCCTTTAGACCTGTCTTTTTCTATGACCCTTTTCTCCCTTACACATTGTTCTAAGTGGACTTCTCCTTTTCTTTTTCATGCTTTACTCCACAGTATGCAATCATTTTTCATTCTTTTTCTGGTGGGAGTTCTTTACATTCATACATATATCTATATATATATATATATATATATATATATATATTATTGCTTCTCGAAAATATAAATATAAATATTTGTATCTTAGATAGGGTTTGTATATGAAAATGTCGTAAGATTATGTGTTATACCAATAGTGTTCGTACTCAACTTTATGTAATTTACATATTGTTTTAATATAATTTAAATTTGGACATCTTAAAATATCAAGGTATCCCACATTCATATGAACAAACAAAATAATAAAACAAATGATACATGGATTGGGTTAGATTGGGTTGAATTATATTGATTTTTTAATTTTACTCATTAGAAATTTTTTATTAATTGAGTTGGTAACCCGAGCAATTGAAATAGAGTTCACAATTCAACTCAACCCTCTATTTTCAGGTTAGATTGGGTTGGTGGGGTGTTCTGTTTTTTTTTTTAACCTTATTTAAAAGATAAGAAAAGTGGAGTAAGGTTGAGTTGGATTGTAACCCTATTTTTGGGTAGTCAGGTTGAGTTGACAATAAAAAAATGTCAGTTAAGAGCTAGGGAGATACCAACTAAACCCTAGAATCTAAGAAGAGTGTTCGAGATGAGAACTATGAGTTGGAAACCATCGCAAGAGTCGTGCCTCAAGGACCTACTAGCTTTAGGTCTATGATGGTAATGACGACAATGACGAAAGGGACTAGCAAAACATCTAAACAAGAATCCTAAGAACGAACCATGAAAATTGAATTCAAATAAGACTAAGAAAAAGTGAGCTTAGGCGAACCAAGTAAACTTAGTCTAGGAAAAGCCTATAAATTATAAGGGTAAATAAATAAAATTAATTATCGAACGCTATAAATATTTTAATCGTTAATATTATAAATATTGATATTTGAAATTGACCATTTGCCCAAACTTATTAAATTGACTTTGACCACTTTTGTAATAATAAAGTTCTCCAATAAATATATATATATAATTAATGTAAAGTTGACCTAACCTTTTCATAATTAATGTCGAGCTATTGGATTTGTATCAGATTTGATTCACTTTATTTATCTAATTCAAATGACTCTATGTTTATACATAGCATCATATAATTGTTAAATTAATTAATGTAAATCAATTATTATAACAAATATGAAATTTTAAATTAAAATATTAAAAACTTCATCATCAAACCTATAATTTATCCAAATTATTTTAACCGTCAAACTATTGCTATCGGAGAACGAAACTATGACTTAAAATAATCAAATTTGAACATCTTTTTCACAATGATATCGAAAAATATTGACCGTAACTTCGAAAAGTAGCCAGTGGTTTACTGATGGAAAATGACCAAAAAATCGATCGAGATTAACTAGTTTTTGGGGTTTTTTTTTTATCGGAGATATGACTCAAAATCATCAAATTTAAACATTCTTCGTCATCCTAAATTCATAGTCTTGGGGATTGATGTAGTAATTAGATCATATGTTTTGATTTAATTACTGAAGATATGACTCAAAATCACCGATTGTTCTGAAGACGATACTCGAGCACTCTTATCACTTCATTAAAACTCGTCTATACACTTACGGTATATAATTAAAATTACGCAACTACAACCTAATAGTATAGATAGTAGTAACCTTCAATTCTTTCAAGCATTTCATATACTTCTACTCTCAACTTCTCCCTACTTAAGGTTATATATTGTAAGCCGTTGTTATCTCTCTCTTGCTTGCTTATATAACGTCTCTTTCTAAAATCTTCTTTTAAAACCGAGGCTAGAGGCTCGATTATACGTCGCTTGGCCGTAGGCAACGCAAGAACAAATTGGCTTAGCTCACTTGTTGTTGGAAAGTGAGTGTCGTACAATCGTTAGTCCGCTGTCTTCAGAAGTGCGATTGTGTCAAATATCATAATCGAAGGTGATTGTTTCAAATATCAGTTTCAAACCCATTAAAATTTTAAACTTAAATATTTAATACGTAAGTAAATGAAGAGTACATGAATAAACCGACACCATATTAAGATTGAATGACGATGTGAAAAACACTCGGCTATGTTTCAAATTTGACCAAGTAAAAGCAATTAAAGGGAGGAAGTTGAGAGCATCTAAGGAACTACATTATTGAAATAAATGGCGAAGGCTTCGGTGGGGACAACTTCCCCTTTTCCAATTCCTCTAATCCAATGTCATTTCATCTCCTATTTATTTATTTATTTGTTTGTTCATACCTAGCTAATGTTGTATACTAGTCTTAAACGTTCTTGTTTGGAAATGTATTTCCGAGGATAATGTTAGGTGGTAGAGGTGTGCTAACATTGCGCCATTTTCTACGAGTCAGATGTTGAAATATAGGGTCAAACTCTAACATGGTATGCAAAAATGACTAAACATGAACATGAGAAAGTTTATGTCTCGATGGGCCATAAGAGGTCTCAAACATAAAGTTGGATTATGAGCCAAACTCTCAAACGTGGCCAAACAAATTGTGAGAGTTGATGGTATCTTGAGGCTCAAATGGATATTACAAAATATGGGTGGGACTCGAGAGTTTTTAGTTAGCACAATATTTAGTTTGTATGTCTCGATAAGTCTTAAAATAAATGCTAAAATCACTGGATGAGCACTAGTTGAATGTTTTAAGATAGTCTAGACCCAATTAAAGTCGCCTTGACTAAATTTTCTTCAAAAAAAAAAATAAATATCGAAAATAATTGCCAAGTCAATGAAATGAATTTTGGTGTAGTTAGAAAGTTATGTTTTCACATCTCCATCTCCACATTTATTGTTATACTTTAAAAAAAAAAAAAAAAAAACTATTTTACACTTAGTTTTAAAATTTTGAACGTAACTTCAAAAAGGAATATCTATATGTGATAGACTTGGGTGGTTACAAATAATATTAGAGCCAGATACGTGCGTGTGCGTTGGTGAGTGAGGTGGATAAATCAACACATGACAATTCTCCCTACGAGTATGGGCTTCTCGATTGACTCTCAGTGCCAATTCCTTCAATATCAAGCATTTTCTTCCTACATTCAACCCTCCATGCTCATTCGAAACCCCTAATGTCACCTAAACTCATGTGTTCTCGGCCACAATATACGGCCGATGTTGACATGGACCGTCGATTACTCTCACTATTGGACTTAAGAGTGTAAAATTGGTTAGGGGAATTAGTTAATTGGGATGGATTTGAGGTGAAAAATGAGATGAAATTGAGGAATGACATTGATGGTAACATGAATTATTGTAGCAACTTGGACGATTGATCTGTTAATTATTAAGTTAAATGATGATGTGAGCACAGATTTTGGATGGTGACGAGGATAAAACAACATCATAACGAGAACACAAATCAAACTCCAAAATTCCTCTTTTTCCCTTTATAAACCTTTATTTGTTTACCCCATAATTTCCTGCCTCCTTCCTCCAACTCTGTTTTCCTCTGTTTCTTATATACTCTTTCAAACCTTTTGATCCAATACCCATAATTTCATCACTGCGCTCCATGGGCAACCTCTGCGGCACTCCCGTCGACACCCACACCCCGCCGCCCACCAAGCCCTCCTCCCCAGTCTCCTCCCAACGCCACGCCTCCACCACGCCCCGGAATCTCAAAGTATACACCTTGTCGGAGTTGAAGACGGCCACCAGGAATTTCCGGCCCGACACCATGCTGGGTGAGGGCGGATTTGGGAGAGTCTTCAAAGGCTGGGTCGATGAGACAACCTACGCGCCGTCCAAGGTCGGCGTCGGGATTCCTGTCGCCGTGAAAAAGTCAAACCCCGACAGCTCTCAGGGTCTTCGCGAATGGAAGGTATTTCTTCTGTTCACACTTCAGATCTTCTCTCTCTTCTCAATCATTATTATTAAAATATTGGGTTTTTTTAAATTTTTAATTTGATTTTGAAGTGCAGGCGGAAGTGGATTTTCTGGGGAAATTTAGCCATCCAAATGTGGTGAAATTGATCGGATATTGCTGGGAAGAAAAGCAATTTCTTCTTGTTTATGAACATATGCAGAGAGGAAGCTTGGAAAATCACTTATTTCGAAGTATGTGTAAAAAAAAATAAAAACTATTTTCTGGGTTTTTAATTTTTTAAATTTTCAACTAAAACCCACTTTTTTTTTTTTTTTTTTTTTTTTTTTTTTTTTTTTTTTTTTTTTTTTTTTTTTTTTTTTTTTTTTTTTTTTT